TAAATCACTTTTTCTGCTTGTGCAAGATACATATATTTCAATTTAATTTTCTTTTGAGTTACATCACTAATGGTATGTTTCTCATGCCTGAACAAACTTGATGAGTGAAATCCAAGCATATGAGTCAAAACTTGCTGGAGCGATTTTCAATTTGTGGGGCTCTTACATGCAAAATTTTGGTATGGCAAAAAAGCTGAAATGACATTTCAGTGTATTTTAATGGCTTTCTGTGACCATCATCTGTTATAAAAGAAAGCATTTGAAGAGCTAGTGTACCGAAACCTTTTATCTATTATGTTTCAAACAAAGCACCTTCTGATAACTAGTACTCTTCCTGCTATAACTTTCAGTCTGGAATCATAATCCACAGTACCAAAGGTTGGTTAGCACGGAGGTCAATTCTACTGTGATCCATTTCATAAATTGAAGAATGGCAAATTCGGAGCAGTTTGCTAAAAATTTTCAGCAGAATTTCATTTAAGACTATGATTTTTTTCTTTTTTAAGATAATTGTATCAGAAGTCGTCTTTTCCCAGAAAAGAAAGAAAAAATAGCACAGATAGAAACGTGGAGGAGAAGGAAGAAAGTAATGCGACTGTGACACAACTGGGTTTCCTTTTTGTCCTTCTTCCTAATAATGTTTGGATTACTTGGGATGCACACGAAACACTCCAGTTGCTACAGCGAGGTTGAGGAACTGAGGCTGGAAGATGAAATAACCATGAGGGTGCTCATAATATGTGACCCGTTACGTGAAACCACTGAAGTGATGAACATTAGCGTTCTTTCAAAATTTTTAATTTTTAAGTCTTTCTGTCTTTAAAATTTAAAGTAGGGGGAAGGGAAGAATTCTTCGCAGAACAATGGTGCAGTCTGTTATCTGCTCCTTTGCACTGTAAAGCACTGAATGTTCAGCCAATATAGTGCTCTGGTTGGCTTAGCATTCTTAACCTTAATTTTGAATAGAAGGTGCCTTGTGCTGCTGACGTAATTAGGGCCTTTTGTAAATCACTGTTGCAGGCAGTCTGCTGTTGCATTTCATTGCATTTTTTCTGAGGGATGCAGGGGAAAAGTATCAAACTAACTTTCTGAACTCCTCTTCAGGTTCAGCATTTTCGTTACTGGAGTACTTTATTCAGAATGCAGTCTGCTTCGTTTTCCTTTATAGATTTGAAGCCCCCAATCAATTTTGCTTGTGAAGCAGTCTTCCTGGTGAAGAAGTTTGAATAAGAAGCCCTTAACAGCTTAAGGCAGTAGACACTTCCAAGAGAAGAAAAGAAAAAGGAAATCTGAGATGGGTGGATTTAATTAACTCGCTTTAAATGAAGTCCCCTCTTTGATACAGGAATCTGCCTCTTTTGTCCCTGAAACTGTCGGAAATTTTTAAAAGTTTGAGCTGCGGCTTTTCGTAGAGCTGGTTTCTTAAATGTGGTTATACATCATGCCCCGCAGTATTGTGCGGGCGACCTGCATAAAATCCTCTTCCCTTTGGCGTAAACCTCTTATGGACCATTGCACTCTCTCCCTCCGTAGAGACATGGGGCTTCATCTCCCTTCTGTCTCTCCCTTGTCCTCTCTTGCAGGGTTCAGCTCAGGCCATTACATCCCCTACTGATGTATTCTTTTATATCTGTGATGTCAGTGGTGATACATAGCCTTGTGCTGTCCTTGACAGCAAACACAGCACTGTTAATAGTCAGTGAGGTTAACCTGTTCATTTCTGCATTCCCTCCTTCCATCCGCCGAGTTCTAGCCCATTCGTTTTAAAGGACGTGTTAAAGAAAAAAAACACCGTTGACCCACCATGTGAATGAATGTAACAGCGTTTTTAATGCAGCTCTAATAGTAACTTCAGTGCGAGAATACTGGCATGTTGCCTGTAATGCCTAACTTCTGGGTAGAAAGAGTG